GTCATTTTTCGACTGCGCAAGTATGTCACTCTTGGCTTTTCCTCCAGGCCTCATCACCATGTGTGTGTGTGTGTGAGATCAGCCACGTGGAATCGCCTCCAAAGTTGGCGCTTTCATGATTTGGAATTCATGACATAATGGTAATCATAATTTTTTTTTTTCCCGGCGGAAGTAGGTAAAAGCGGTGTGAAGGGGTTAGTTCAACTTCAGGGGATCAATCAGATTGATTAAACACACCATGATTAAACACACCAAACTGCTTACGCTATGTTTGGTACGGGATTTTCGGAGGGGAGGGGAGGGAAGTTGCTCCCTTCCCCTTGTTTGGCTGGTATAATTTTTTAGGAGGGGGAGGGGAGCCTTGTTTGGTTAAGATGTTTTTTAAAGAGGGGAGGGGTTCTTCTCCCCTTCCATTCCCTTCTAGCCTCCCCTCTAAAAGTGGGGTTTTTTGGAGGGGAGGTGAGAGATGATATTTTAATTCCTTATATGCTCTTTCGATTTGTTAACCTCTAATCAATCATAAACATTTCTACATAAGAGAGTTCTTTTGAGCATCTAATAAGAGGTTATTAAGATAATTATCTCCAAAATTAGTGAGCATTTGTAAACTTTTTTTCTCTTCTTCTAATTCTAAGAGGCCGTTGGTATTTTCTTTCACCTTCAAGGTCTTTTCTCTGATTGAAATCTATCACTTGTGACTTTTTGTCTTGATATTCTATAAGTGTGTGACTATATCTTGTAAATCAAAATTAGTGAATTGTATTATATATATAGTTATATCTTAACAAAATAAAAAGTGAGAAAATTCATTTAAATTTTATGAGGCTAAAATAGTCAATTTTTTATTAGAACAAAATAAGGTATTATTAAAATTACTCGCTCCCCTCCCCTCTAATCAATCCAAACAGGAGATCATTAAAATCCCTCCCTCCCCTCCCCTTCCCTCCGTCGAACCAAACATAGCGTTAGATTACATTATGAAACCTCATCGGGTTGGGGCTGCTTTTATGACCGTGTCGTGTATAGCTTCCCATTAATTAGCTCGCAATGGCATTTACTCAGAACAGTTAGCATGTTGAAAATATTACTCCAGATGATGAATAAACGGAATAGTAATTTGAATTTACAAACTCGTCGCAACCGTTGACTTATGCCTCAACAACCTCCCACATTGTCAAACATTACCAAACAAAACGAAGAAATTCTTCAGAGAAGTTTTTTCCGAAACAAAAGGGGTAACTGATAAATCATCATCTCAAAACCTTCTTTTTTGCAGCATTCTGTCGGGGGACCGTTGAGGGGAGGCTTCTTCCGTCATGACGATTCACGAGTCACGTAATCTCGCTAAAATCATTTTGGGCTTGTAACTCACATCTGACCCAGGCCCGTATTTAAAATGGCGCAGGCGCAGGCCGCCCCTGCTTTAGCCTTTAGGTCATCTGTCCATAAACCTGCACTAAAATTAGGAATCTTTAACTTTATCCAACCACGCACAACTCGAATGGTGTTTTAACACGGATCTTAATAATTGAGAATGAAGATAAACACACAATAGCAAGTCCAAATGTGGGATCTGCATATCACACGTACAGCCCTTCTTTTTGTATGTATCTTCTTATCTCTTGATATAAAATCACTTCAGAAGAATCCCTGCGATGGCTGGTAATAATATTAACTCTCTCTCTCTCTCTTCTTTTTAAATTTCCTAAGTGACGTTGACGGTTAAAGAGTATGTTTGGATTGACGTTGGGCAAAACTGACTTCTAGTCCAACTGACTTTTATAACTGAAGATAGAGTAAAAGTCAGTCAGTATAATGCGATTTGTGTTTGGATAAGTGCTTATAAAAAGTCAGTTGAAAAAGTTGAAAGTTGTTTGGATGATTAATAGAAAAGTTAATTTAGTTGAAAATGACTGAAAAGGGCATGAAACTTTATTGAATAGTAGTGTTTGAAATGTATGTTTTTAATGTGATAATAATTTGAAAAAAATATGTAAAATTATTATGAAAATATATTTTATTTGTGAGATTATAAAATAAAAATATTTGTTACGGAGAAAAATTTGAAAACACATTGTAAATAATTAATTAAATATACATGATGGACAAACATGAATATAAATTAAAATTCATTTGGTCTCTAATTAAAGTAAATGAAATCAGATAACTAATTAGATCATAAGCTTTACACAATTTTCCCATAAATCAATTAGAAAAGTTGATCCATATTGCGTTGGATAAGTCAGTTAGAAAAGTTACTTTTTTCCATAAGTCAGTTAGAAAAGAAGCCCCATCCAAACAATCTTCTAAACCACAATAAGTCACTAACCTCAGTTTCACGCTTCCCCAGGCATTTTTGGCTTCTCCAATTGCAATCTAAACATAGCCTAAGGATATGTTTGAATTGGTGTTGGGCAAAACTGACTTCTAATCCAACTGACTTTTGTAACTGAAGTCAGAATAAAAGTCAGTTAGTGTAATGCAATTTATGTTTGGATAGATGCTTTTAAAAAATCAGTTGAAAAAGTCAAAAGTTGTTTGGATGATTAATAGCAAAGTTAGTTTAGTTGTAAAATGACTGAAAAGGATATGGAGTAGTGTTTGAAATTTTATATTTTTTAATGTGGTAATAATTTAAAGAAACACGTAAAATTATTATGATAAAATATAAATAGTTTATTTGTAAAATTATAAAATAAAAAATATTTGTTATGGAGAAAAATTTGAAAATATATTGTAGATAATTAATTAAATATACATAATGAACAAACATGAATATAAATTAAAATTTATTTGGTCTCTAATTAAAGTAAATAGAATAACATAACTACTTAGATCATAAGCTTTGTACAATTTTTCCATAAGTCAGTTAGAAAAGTTGATTCAGATTGTGTTGGATAAGTCAGTTAGAAAAGTTACTTTTTTTCATAAGTCAATTAGAAACGAAACTCAATCCAAACAATCTTCTGAGCTGCAATAAGCCACAAACCTCAGTTTCACGCTTTTCCGTGTGTTTTTGGCATTCCAAACGGTAATCCAAACAAACCCTAAGTGTTTTGCCAAATGTAAGTGGAGTGCAACACTGCAAAAATTACACTCTACGTTTTATTAAATTTTCTGGGCAATACAAGCTACTAACGAAACATCAATGCAGGCGTTCTAAAAATGCGCCTCTAAGCATCCAGGGTTATCATGAATGCATAGGCAATAAAAATAAGGACCTAAAATAACTCCAGCCATGGATGAGCTTTGATCAATCATGTCATTGCAAGTAGATATATATATAATACGTTAATTTGTATAATCATCTCAATACCATGTATAATTATTGGTTATTGCTTTGGTTTTTATTGAATGACCCTGCTTAGAACTGCAATAATCTTGACAAATCTAAACGCAATCTAATATATAGATTCTGAGTAACTGTGCTGGAAAAAAATCTAGCCAGACTTATTTCACTACAAATAAAACACAATTTAACAAGTCAAGCTATATGTATGTGCGCGCGCGCGCTCATATACATATAAAATTTCAAACTTTTTGGTATGAACCTGTGGTGCAGGATTAGGTTGGTTGTCACTCTTACCGCGCATTATATTTGTCTATATATTTAATTAGATTAGGAGCAGGAATCTGGTTTATTCTGCTCCATTTGAAATTCACAGTTAGATCCAAAGGATTTTTAAACGAGGGAGCGCTTCTTCTGTACTTTTGAGCTAGTTTCAGTTTCACTGTAACTTTTTGCAATCATAAACTTTTAGTTTCCTCGCACCCAAAAAAGAAAACACTTTTAGTTTCTTTTTGGGTTTTAAAAAATTAGCTTTCCGTTGGAAAGAGAAAAAACTAAATTGATCACTACTGGATCTGCCAACCTGAATATCATCGAAGGGGCTGCAATGTTGTCATTTAGCAGCCACCTTCCAAGAACATGAATGTTGTTGAGCACAAATGAAAATATTAATAAACCTTATCATGATTATGTCCTCAAGAGAATGACTTGTTAATTATGTGGAAAGAAGGATGCTGCAGCAGCGCTGGGATGACTTTAATTTGCCAGAGAAGAATACCCAATACTGTCTCACCGGTCCCATGTTCCCCCAATTATGGGGACCCTCTTCATTCCCCTTTCTTAATCCTTTTTTAATCACCAAAAGTATGCGCCTGCCTTCTTAATTAATTAACGTGCCCTCTTCTATTTCTTACTATGTTCCAACTTGGCATAACGGTCTAATTGGTCCAAAATCTTATTGACCCAATTTCCAAAAAGCAAAAATCCCTAAAACAAGGAGGTGCTCCGAGCAAATCATGACGTGTTCGTGTGGTTCTCGTTTAGCCTAAGTTCCCATTAAACACTTTACCGAGTCATCTTATTGTAAAGAATCATTCTCTCTGTTTTTTTTTTTTCTTTTCTCAGTTAGCTCCAAAATGACCACTAGGAATCCGAGAATGCAAGGCTCAATCTTAATTCGTAGAGGCAAGAAATCAAAGCCAATATGGTGTCTCCCCCGATCCCGAAAAGAGGCATCTCATACGTGTGGCTCAAAACTTTAACGTCTATCTCTAGCAGTTGACCCTCCCTGCGATTGACTCTCTCCGTCAATATCTGGAAGCCCCACCCGAAAGCAAGTGCAGAAGAAGAAATTGCCTAGAAATTTCTACTCAGATCTCGAATCGCTCTCCCATCCCCTTCGGAGTTTGGACTCATTTGGCACGCAAATAAAGACGCTTTGCGTATCATAGTCATCGTAGAAACTCATGTCTTAGCCATCAATTATGGCCTCTCATTGGATGGAGGTATCGCGCTTAACTCCTATCCGCCTCGCTGCTCACAGGATGATACTTATCCTGTATGACATATCACTGCCACTCGCAAACAAACTCACCTCCATCATTTGAGTTTGATCCAGATTCATAACCCGTTAAAACTGCATTTGTTAAGGATCCAGTTGGCAGATTAAATCCTATATAGTTTCTCTTGCGAATTACAGCCACACCGAAAGTGGAATGGACAGGTCATTCATGGTCTGGTAAAAATTGACGAGTCAAAACAGAAACATTACATTGATCGATCGTCCCGTTTCCCTTCGCCTGTGTGTTTTGTAATCTATACATTGTGCCTGGACTAGGAGTTTCAAGGAAAAACCCAGAAGAAACAAAAAAGCATTGACCTTGTTTTTAAGACTCCATCGTCTCTTGCTGAAAACTCTCTAATTTTAAAAACTGGTTTATTCAACTAGAAACTTCATCCAAAAGCTTGTACCTTCTCACCTTGTTCCTGAAGACCTGCCTCGTGACGATCCTGCTTGTGTTGGGTATATCCTCAGACTTGGTTCTCCTCAGCCTTTCCTCTAAACCGCCGTTTGTCACGATCCTCTTCCGCGTCGATACCACCACCGATGGAGACGACGACGGTGATCTCGCCTCCGGCGACCTCCGTTTCTGGATGCCTTTATTCTTCGCATGGACCTCACCCTTCTTACCACCAATCTTGTGTGAATTTACGTTGCTGTTCTTGATCCTCCTGTTCTTGCCGTCATCACCCGCGCTCCCATTATTTCTAAAGGATGAAGAGGAATTCGAAGAATTGAGTGACTTTTCTTTAACATCATCCTTCTGGGCCAAACACCAATTGCAAGTTCCATTGGCGTCTACTTTCGGGTAAAGGTTACTGCAGTATCTGCAAAATTGATAATAAAAGTGAGCAAAAGAGCGTCGAATTCGTGGAAAACACGTATAATCGATGAGACATACCTGTGCTGAGATCTGAATTGGCAGACTTTGCACTGAAAAAGCTCCTCATAGAAGCCGCAATCGCCACACATACAACACTCAGGCTTGGGTTTGGTGGTCATGTCTGTTCTTCATTGAAAGAGAGACGATGGAGCAGGCAAGAACCTCACCGAGAATACCCAATTCGCATCGGTAACTATATAAATAAAAAGTGGGGGGGGGGGTTTGAGTTCCCGGGTCGTCGTGTTTGTGAAGTTGCTCATATACGTAATGCGATGGCAATTTCGTGTTGCTGTGGGAAAACCAGTTAATTAATATTTATGGAGGCTGTTAGGGGTAAGGCAAGTAAGACAGGGACGTTGATTCTTCTCAAGTCACCTTCTTTTGTTAATTATTAATAGTAATATGAATTCACGAATAGCTCTAAGTCGTCCCATTTTATATATCCCAAATTTCAAAAGACGGGGTCATGGTCATCGGGTCTTGGCCGCAAGCGGGGTCAAGTCGTTGGATCCAAATAAGAGAATTGTGAATGAAGATTTCAAATGGCCAGACCCAAACCAAAAAAAAAAAAAAAGATTTCAACCACCATCCTATGCAATTCCATTTTCAGGAAAATTGGAATTTCCTTGGTTTTAGCCTCGTCCCATGGTCCATAATGACGAATATTGGGAAGGGCGGTACAAGAAATGCCGAAATATAGCTAAGTTACATTTTTATTGCAATGCTTTTGCTTGTCAGTCCCACCTTTTGTAGCGAGCGAAGATCATAACAACCATCACCCATTATTCATGGAAATTCATAATTAATTGATTCTTATCTGTTTCTGGGGCATCAAATCAAAGACCGCGATATCTTACCAAATAGAAAGCAGTAGGTTTTAAACAGATTCTTAAACATGTGATGTGAGTATGCAAGGCTCATTTTAAACCGCAACGTGGCTCATAATGATTGATTTGGCCACAACCACCATACTCATGCCAAAGTATTCAAGACTAAGACTGAGACATCCTTCCCTCCATTATATCTGCTTCGATGTTCGTAGCCGTAGGGTCCATCTCCATCTCCATTATCCACAGCGTAGCCGGGCCAACACCCACGCGTTTGCCTCCATCAGTTACGATGTTCTTGGTTCTGCCTCACCAACACACGGGTGATAGTTGCCAAAAAAAAAAAAAAAAGAAGCCAGGAAACGCTTCTTCTGATTCTGCATTACTTTGTGTTGACTTGTTAATAATATGGGAATTTCTTGGGTGATGAGCTCTAGGTAGGCCTAAAACTGTGATCAAACATGTTGAAGCTAGGCTTGCTTGGCGTTGTGGAATTGACATAACGCACAAGCCTCCTTCATCTCAATTCTTCACTTTAGCACAACTGCTCTAGCAAGAAGTCCCGAACAAAGCGATGCTAATTATTTATAAACAGAACATGGTCTCCCTCCCCACTTTAAGGCTTTTCTCGTACAGGTCCAAAAATGAGGACCCTCTTGTTAATTACCATAAAATTGGAATAGCTTTGGAAGCAACTGTTGTTCAACAGGCCATTTGGATTGAATGGATATATTTGACAGGTAATTAGTTGTCAAGTATAGATGAACCATGAAAAGAAAAAGTCGTCCCCCTACTCATAAATATCATACGTCTGTATCAGCTATTGTTTGATATTGCGCGTGCGTGTGTGAATATTTCTAATTTTTTCCTCTGATCTTATCACATTCTTCCTCATATTTTACGTTTATTTTGTTTTGATATTTCTCAAGATAAAACATCTGTTGTCCCATTTGAAGAGAAGGCCGCATCTAAAATGCAAGTTTTGGTCAAGAGATTCAAATCGATAATATAAATCATTCAAATATCAAGTAGAGCCATGAAGGCCTTCCAGTTTATCTTTTGGCACGTTAGAGATATTGCATTTTGAAATGTTTACTAGCCTTGTTTTGTTATAAAAGAAGAAGAGTTAAACAGTAGAAGCGAAACATAGCCTTGTTTAATTTCGTGTTTTAGGAACCCGAGGATGAAAAGATATCCTGGATAATATGTCTTTGATGAACTATTATGAGGAACAAGAAAATAGATGTTCTTAAAAAATTTTAGAAAGTCATATGTTTTTTTTTTATTCTAACAAAACAGGAAAAGAAGTGAGGGACAAGTCTTTTCGTTAATGGCAGATTTGTATATATTTAAAATGAATTTTTTTTTACCTTGATATTTAAAACGAAGTTTGACTCTAACCATATCCTTTTTAATTTGTTCGTGTTTTAGAACAATAACGTTTCATATTTTTTTTAATTTTTAAAACTTATTCCGAAAAATAATTATGCAAAACTATTTTTAAAATACAGAAACACAAAACAGAATAAAACAGCCCCTAATCACTCGAAACTCAATCATATATTAGTCAAATCTGGAGAGGCAGCTCAATTTAGTTCTGGACCAGTTGGCCTGTTAAACATGCGCCCAACTAGTGGTTCCACGGCAAATTAATTCGGCCCAGTTGAAATCAGACTACGTTTCATTACAAGACATGCTAATGGAGTTGCTGACGCTCCAGCCGAAAAAAAAGGATATCCGCATCTTCTTACTTTGATGAATGCCCGATGGATCTCAGGAATCTGGTGAACAAGAAATCTTTTGTTTAGTCTTTTTTTGTTCTGGTTTCTTTTGTACCAAAAAAAAAATTTCGGCCCAATTCACCCTATTCCATTTTTTTTTGTTAGACACAGATTTTTTTTATTAAAGACAATCATAGTCGAAATATTATCTGAGTACTAAATATAAGTACTTCTTCTAGTGGAGATTCAAACTCTAGTTCATCACACGGAAGACTGGCTTATTCCGCTAGATCTAACCCTCTTCGATACTTTTTGCATTGCTCCATTTAAAAAAAGCCGAAAACGACAAATGTGTGGAAGTCCATAGGTGAACAACATACGGAGGGCCGGGAAAGCTCTGCATTCATTTCATAATGAGGTAGTGAATAGTGATGCAGCATGCGGGGAAACAGCAGTTCATAACGAGGTTGAATGCAGGAAGAAAGAACGACAATGAGATCAGAGACAAACACTACTGGGTTTTTGCCTGTTACATTCACAAGGAAATTGTGCTAAACGAGCTTGGGCTTTCACAATCACATTTGATTACAAGTCGAAACGAAGGAGGCCCCTTTGGCACGTCGTGCATTCGATAGACGGTTCCACAGAAACAAAAACAGGGGTCTCCTCTATTAATCCACATAACTCCATGTTTTTATTCTACTTTGTTACTTTTACAGGAAAAACATCGCTTGTTGGTTCCTTTTAGCAGCATTTCCCTGAACAAAGTAGGACAGAATGGAGGGACATACGTTAGGATTACAGATACTACTTAGCCAGAGCCTTCCTTTTTCTATATGCATGCACGAAGGATCATTTAAGTTGTGCATAAGATGAAGAAAAGAACTGGTAATGAATTAAACTCCGATCAGGTACTACGAAGATTCTGCGCAAATGATTTCCTCTGGAGCAGTGTTTGGATTGTTGGTGATCCAATCATAAAGCTGAATGGAGGGCTATTCGATTCCCAATTCACAGAACACTGAGGAATGGAGACGGCAGGTACAATTTAATAGCACGCGAAGGGTGAGTGAGAAAAAGGAAATGAGATGGCTATAAATATAAAGATATCGAGGACCACATGTTTCAGAAAAGTGAGTATGTTGAAGATGAGTAAAAGGAAGTATCTTTAACTCCTACCGGTTCCTGCGCACCGTGTGACCAGTCAGATGAACAATTTAATTGACAAAACCTATCATCCAATTCAAGGAGCCCCAAAATCTTTTCCGCCAAGACCAGAGAAATAGAATATGCGCATTTTATTTATTTATTTTATAATCACACATGTCTTTAAGGCAATCCCATTCTATTTAAGGTACTATCTTTTTAATAAAACTTTATTTGTAAACTACAAATAAGATATTATAAATAGGATCGCAGGTAGTATCGTCGATGTGGACACATTTTGTAGTAAGATTCAAATCTTGACCCATCACATGAAAAATTAGTCTCTTTTACTAAATTCAATCTACTAATATGTTCTTGTTTTTTATTCTTTTTTGTTTTCAATGAAGTACGTAGAGCACCTTCTGATAAGGTCAAAAAATGACAATGAAATTCTAAAATATAACCTATTTTAGTGAAATTTCATATCCCTTTACATTTTTTCATTTGATTTACCTCGTCCGTTCAAAAGAATTTACCCCTTATAAATTAAACAAAGGATTTCTAAATAAAAATAAAATAATTACAAAACTCTGCCTTGGAAAAAACAGAACTTTTCCTTCCCTCTAAGCCGGATCCGGTACCATGATCATGAACCGCGGGCCCATAGAAAAGAGGTTCTGGACTGTTTTCTAAAAGAAAACTACTGCACCAACCGTAGCTACCCAAATGATTAAAGATCAAGCGGAGAAACTCGCGTCATTCGTGGATTTATGATAAAAACAACAGTGATAGCTAAAAGCCGGGAACACAGGGATCGTTGTTCTCGATTTAAAAAGGGGAATTTATTATATTTCTTATTATTAAATAAAAAATAACCGCGGTTGAGTCGTGAAAGGATTTCCCCCTTTCATTCATTCGGTGAATAGATAGATTAGGGAATTGACACTAAAGAGGAAAGTTTCCCTAGAATCTCGATTCCTCTTGATCACAAAACAGATGTCTACAGGAAAGGCCGAAAGGAAAAAAAGGGGGGGAATACAGTTTTATATTTCACATGGCAACAAAGGATGCCCCAATAGCAGGAGTAGGGAAAAAATGGATAACAGTCCTTCATTCTCCAGTGCACTTTTAACATGTCCCCACCGCCATCAGAAAAGAAATGGGGAGATGGAAGACATAACAGGAGGGCGCTTCCTTCTCCAGTGCATGTTTAACCTCTCCATAACAACCATGGATGTTGGAGAAGAAGAATGGTACAGATAGTCGCATTTGTTTGTTGCTGGGCTGGATTTTTATGATTCCTCCCAACCGTAGAAGATAAACGAGAGTCAACAGTAGAAGGCTGTAAAAGATTCTTGGGATTGTTTGATAACTGCCATGATTTCAATGTCAAGCTCTGCTCCTGCCTTCAAATAATTCAATGGCGTGGTCCCGTTGTAGGCCGCACCGGAAAAACAACTTTTCATCAAATCAGGAATCATTCTACTAATAAAACTGGTCAATATGGCCACATCCTTTTCTCTCATTAATAAATGCGAGCATGCGCTTCAACAGTCGTTTTGCCATAAACACCAACAACCATATTCAATTACATCCACCCTACATACATAAATATCTTCTTCAACAGCCATACATCCAATTTCAACACAATACTACAGAATACACAACACTACTAGTTCTTTAACATCGCTAGGAGCCAACACAAATATCAGTGTTCTCCATCGAGTTCCAGTACTGTTTCGTCAAGATAAAAGTAAGCCCACCAACAATGACAGGATTACAAAAGAGTGGAGGCGAGAGAGATTGGGTCCCATGCCAGCCGAGAGGCGTGCCCTCCCATTTTGGGGTCCTTCTCTGGAATCACTCCTCATTGAATAAAACTCCCATCCCACGCCCTGCTTTGAGTCCCACACTTTATCTTCTCCAAAACCAAAGACAACGGACTTATGATTCATAATTTCATTCCGACTCAATCATCAAGACAAAATTCCCAGATGGAGTTCGGTCTCTCATTCCCCTGCCATATTTGCTAAGCTAAACTTTAATAAAATGGAAATACCCAATCACGAGTTCCCCTCTCCCGAACCCACCCATCCTTTACCTTTGCTTATTCTGCACACGTAGTAAAGTAGCTGGCTAGGAACTCAACAAGGCATCAAGTCCGAGAGCTTTAGCCTTGAGTTTCAAGGACCTCAAGCAACGTATTGCTTCATCAAGAAGCACAATTGGATCCTTGTCCTTCCCTCCAGGAATTATGGTCTGCAGAACGCTCAGGACTTCTCGTATCTTCTCCTTTCTCATCTTATTGCCAGACAAGGAACCCATTTCACCAGACCCTTGGCCCTTTCCACAAGAACATCTTGATTCAACATCAACGCCACCATCATAATCATTGGGTCTCTTCATATTCAGAGAAGTGGCAGTGTCATCATAAGCACAGTCTGACAGTTTCCTCTTCTTTGATTTTCCAGTGGACGTCCCAACTTCTTCAGTGGCTGCTCTAGAGATTTCTCGGTTATCATCATGGGTGGTCATCGTGCTGGGAGAATGCCCTGTGCTAGTAACTTCATCTTCATCCTCCGTGGAGTAATCAGCACTGTCCGAGTAAAGCAACGCATTAATTTCTTCCGTATCTTCATGCATCTCACTTTCCACGCCTGTTTCCTGGTTTTCATCAACTCTGGCTGGGAAACTTGATCCAATAAGATTGTTCACATCTCCTTTAAAAGGAGGCTCGTTCAAATTCAAATTTTCATGACCACGCTGTTTGGAATGCCAAGAATCAAGCCGAGGGCTATAAATGAAAGTTGTCTGATCACCCGTCTGATCAATAACAAGGAATTGTTTTTGAGCTTCCCGATTGGGGAAAGTTGCCTCTCCGGACCCTTTGACTTGACCAGCGGGGAGATTTCCCTTAACAGAGAATTTGGGAGCAGGCATGAAGGCCTGACGAAACCGAGGCAAACAGTAAAACCAACCATGAGGAGGTTCATTAGAATATCCTAACTGCAAATGAGGCAACGCGGACGATGTAAAAGCTGGCACTGCCTCATTAGACGGGACCATATTACCAATGCCAGGGTTCATATATGCAGAAACATCGGCCTGCCTTCCCTCACACGGAGCCCTGAGGGAGCTTTGGTTGGGTGATTGCCAATCTAAACGCCGTTGTGGCACCCAGGTTCCACAATCTTTTCCCATTCAACCAGAACAATCACCTAATAAAGATGAAGAAAAAAAACAGGCAGCATATGGTCAACAAAAAAATCAGAATAAGGGATAAATAGTAAAAAGCAAATACCAATGAATGAAAAATCTGGAGTATACCTGAAGAAAAAGAGCTTCAGACAAAAGCTATCCGCTACTATCTGTTTCTTTGGCGAACAAGTATACTAACTAAAGGCACCAGCTTAACCCAAATACAGAGAGGCAGAACTACTCTACGTGACAGGCTTGAGCAAATGACGGAAATATTCAGCCTGAAAAATTCCCATCAAGAAAAGATGAGCACGACATACATTCATAATTTTCTTGGGCAAGCGAAATAATACAACCAAGGAAAATAATAATACCAAACATTTCCCAGATATCTAAAGTCTTGAGTAGTCACGTACCTGGCATTCTCGGAGAGGTTGAAAGCATGCTATAACTCTAACTATAATGGTTGAGCACCCAGCAGTTCCATTTTCATGTTTCAATGCCCGAAATCTCGTTTGACTCGCTGCTTGGCACACCATAACTACTTTCCAACCCTTCAAAGCAAAAGAAGCACAAACTTCCCACGGACAGTGAATGTAAAGCTCCCGCAAGAGTGGGTCAGGTTTGGACAATTAGAGAATAAAAAACACAGGTTATCAGAGGGTACTATGCTGTTGGACAAATTGAAAAACTGAAGGGCAAGACAACAATGAACTGTAACTAAATAGATGGTTGATGGAAGCAAAAATAAACGGATCTGATCAGAAGAGTCTGATGAGGTGAGATTGGTATCCTTCAGCTGATCTGACGGACATAACAAGGAACAACAACTAGGAAATTGGATCCCATGGATATATAGAAGGCAAAACAAGACCGTTAATTGGAATGTTCCGTTCACGAGACGCAAATTACAGAATGACTTTGCAATACAGGTTTAAGGAAATAACTATGCGGTATACATCAACAGATAGGGTAAGCAACCACCGCATGCTGTTCTAACCTTCTCTCCAAAAAGGCAGCTCCCACTATTCCATCTAATATCCTGCAACACCGTCAAAGATCTTCTCACGATATGCACAAATACATAATTAAAAGCACATTTTCTGCAGTTCAAAATATAAGCGACGCATAAAAGAAGAATTTTTCTTATCCGACATCATATTAGTAAAAGAGAACCTTTCCTCCACAGATTAATTTAAAATTTGGCCGGCATATACTTAAAGAGGAAGGGGAAAAAACAATTAAGCATCCAATCTGAAGAAAAAATTATGCAATTTGCCTTGAACTGATGCAGGAAAAACCGTGCTGAAAATTCTAGGAGGAAAAATCTGGAAAGCTAGGAAAAGAGGAAAACGTGAGAGAAAACAAATTTCGTTTTATAAATACGTGAATTATTGAGCTTCCAGCTCAGCAATAGGAGTTCCCAAAAATCAAGAGGTTCACCGAAGGTATATGCAGAGATTCATGACCAGAAGCTTGAAAAACAGAGATTAACAACCAAGAAGATGCATTAAAGCAGGGACAGATGAGCAGAAAACTCACAAAAAGGAGAAGAAGCCGAAACCGCAGGTGGAAACCGGAAGGGAAGTGAGAGGGCGCAAGAAGAAAGAGGGAGAGGGGTGAAAGCGAGAGGGAACAGAGCAAGCGTGAATAGGCACAGTTAAAGCGGAGACTCCAAGCCCAAAAGAGAGGGGAGGGGGAGCTGAATTATATAGGGACGAACGGACACACAGGGCCCCTCATAGCATGGCATTTAATAAAAAGGAGGGGGAGGGGGCGGGAGAGGGAGAGAGAGAGAGATGGTGGTTGATTCGGGCGTGAGGAGTGAGGAGTGCACGCAAGGCATAAGTGTACAATGATGTGTGAGTGAGCGTGGCCCCGTGGGTGCTGGTATCATCACCTCCTCAACCTTTTTGGCCTCCATTTTACTCTCTCCTGTTGACCACGTCCTCGTGTCCTCACCAAACCACGCCCTATTGTTAGTCTCGCTTGCCCTACCCTTCTCCTTCTCCTTCACAATTCACATTGAATCTCTCCCTCAGTCCAGCAAAATTGATGTCACCCAAATTATTAACTACCCTCAAGGCCCCCGCTTATTTTATTCAGAACTCAACCATTCTCCTTGTTATAAAATTGTAAATTGGCGCTCCAAACAAAGGAATCGCAATTCACGTAATGTGTAAATGCAGATTATGGAAAAGTAGGGAACGGTAGGTATCCGATGTTTCCATGGCAATGAGGCTGAACAAATCGTGGCTTGACCGTTCTGATCATTTAACTTGTGGGGGAGGGACCCACCCATGGGCACGGCGTTGTGGTGGAGGATTAGGCTACCCCTCCATTCACCATGGATAGCCCAGCTTTACGATTTTTTTCCCTTTGGTGGCAACAAGAAAAAGTAAAGTAATGAACAGGCACTGGTACACCTCTGCTTTTAATCGATGTGATATGTGAATGTGATGAGCCATCCAATTAGTCGTCTGTGCCTGGCCCTTTCCACCCTCCAATTATTCCATTCCATCATTAACCCTCCCACTAATCCCCCCAAATAACTCAGTTTCTTTCTATCACCACCCCCACATGTCACCATAATTTAGTGCCCAAGTTCATCTATCTTCATGGCGCCCGGATCACGCCCTCTAAAAAACCAGACCTGGGTAAATTAAGAAGCTGTTTGGCTAATCTAAAAATTATTTTTAAAAAGTACTTTCATGTAAATTGATACAAAACTTTTTTTTATTAAAATTACTTTTAAAATTATAATTTAATTTCTATCTAAATACCCCTTAAATAAATAAGCAGAAGACTGCATACAAAAGAGATCAGTGGCGAGGAAGGAGCGACGTGGTGCTACCAGCAAGAAAATGCAGGGTGGGAGCACGAGACGCGATTTGATCACCTGAACAGGATCTTATGGACAGATAAGAAGAATCCGTAGCCATAGGGTACCCTATGGAAGCTTATTAAATTGAGGGAATAAGATATACACAGTGATGCCTTCTTGTTTGGAGTGGAGGGAACAATCAACGAGCCCAATCAACTGCTTCCTTTTCACCCTCAATGGGGTCCTGACCTTTTTGGCGCCACTAAAACGACCACACTAACATGCCCACCCAGATGGAAAGCAACCATTCCCTTTAAGTTATCTGTCCATTAATCTAAAAGAAAGAAAAAAAACTGGTCTGACATCGACATGCTGATCAATTGGATTGCTTTGCACGTCTGTGTTATTTTATCATTATGGTCGCTTTATTTGCTAAGCCTGACATTTGTTTAGTATAAAACTGGATTAATGTGAATTGACTGGGTATTACATTCGAGCTTGGTGGCTGCGGACCACCGAATGAATAATATTAAGAAATGGCCGTGAATGGGTTCAGCTGAGGCTTCTTCGGTCACCGCCCACCATGAGCAAGAAAAGCGATATCATTCTGTGGAAGCCACCAAAGCATATTCTATGTATCATTATTGTGATCTCGTCATCTTTTCCTTTTTTTAATTTTTCTTCTTCCACAATTCCTCACTTTCTCTTTCTCGCCGTGGTGATGTCCTCCGGTTTTTCCATTGGTGCGGTCTAAAATTTGAACGCTACTTTCAGAAAAGTAATTTTCCTTTTTTTTTTTTTAATGTTTTAGTGAGGGAGTGCATTTTACTAGTCGTTTGCATGCTCCATTGACCGGCCAATACGTCATGCCAGGTTCCCAGTCTCAGCAAATGCGACAGATGAGGTCGGCGTGTTGTCTATTTAATTAATACGCAGAAAAATCGACTTTGCATTTCCCTGATTTATTTTTCTTACTGAGAATAATTGAGCTTTTAGAAGAGCTAAACTAATCCTTCTGGAAACACCAGAGGAGATATATGGTCTTACAGGAATTACCGTGGAACGTACTTAAGTCTGAATAATGCCAATGCCGATAAAACACGCGCGCACACGCAGGATCCCTTATACGGGGAATAGAAAAAAGTGAAAGGGGAAACAGGTAGGGATTTGATAACTCATTACACAAGGGATGGAGAGAGAAGGAATTGAGACGTGGAGTACAAGGATTAGAAAAGACGAGAGCGATATGGTAATGGCAATGGTAACGGTGGGGGGATATATAAACACGGGGTTCCCATGTTTTCTGCCACTAACGAGTGTTTTGTGTTAATGAGATGCACAAGCCATAAGCCTCCCATGATGGCACTCGTTAGCAAAATTAAACCTCGAGTGGGGCTCCCCCAACTCCCCCTCCATGGCGTGACCAATGCACCATCATGTGACGAGTGGAAAGGCCCAGCGTTCGGAGGCAGAAAAGGTGAGACATTGTGTTGAATTAAGGATTAAAAACGGGTGACTAGGGGGCCACGGAGAAGCTAATAAATGATGGTTTAGGTGGGACATGAGGCAATGGAGCCATTTGGCTGTGGATTCTCCAACATTACCATCCCACGCTTGCAAAGCCACATAACACCTCCCTCCACCCACCATACCTCGCCCTTAATTAAAAATACGCCCACCTCAACTCCCATCTAGTGTCATGCAGCACCAACATTAATTTTTCTCTCCATCCCTCCCCTTTCTCTTTTTCTCCATTTCAGCCCACCATATTAATATATTTACCGCTTTTCCCTTAATGGAAACGTGCGTGAGCAAGCCAGCTGTTTATAATATTAATATATATATATGGCTGGATTAAGTCATCATTTGTTTAGGCGTAGATTCAAGATTTTCATCATCACTCACAGAAGCGCATGCCTGCTTGTTATTTGCACGGCACTAGCATACTTATATTATTGTCGTCCCTAGTTCTTCCATTGGATTCAAGTTATATGTATAACATATCTTTGCTTAGAATTGAAGACCAACACACCCATCGCTACGTAGTAGTGCTGTGGACATAAATAATGGTGAAAAAGGTTGTTGTGCGTCGCTGTACACGTATAGAGCAAGCAAGCTGCAACAAGAGTCTTTGATTTGATGTTAAAAGATGTAAGTAGCGTGAAATCTCACCCACCACGAGTACTCACGTATATAGCCAAGCTGCTGGGAGCAAGACACAGTGCGTGTTGGATCATTGCGACTCCCAGGCTTGTTGGATTGCTGTTCAATGTATGCTGGGCGCTCGCCCAAGACTTCAATACGTTCTTGTACTTTTCTAGAGTTTAGCCATTAACTCCCAAAACGCACGTGTATCTCATAAATTATGCAGAGGGGTTATTATGATATGAATGCACCCGAAAAATGCAGCGGACAACACATTATATGATGCGCTAGAGGACTTGTAATTGATGACTAGATGGAGTTCTAATGAGTCTCACCGTGCGCTCATTTCACAGCAATAATGTCGGAATCACCAGTTCCACTATATTTTTAAAATCTCATATCGGTTGCCCTGTGGCTGCAGCTTGTGGCCTACTCTTCCACTTATTAATTTATGATATGGTTTAATTAATTTAAAGCGTGAGAAAGAACACGGGATGGAGGGGGCATGCCATGATTGTGGTTTTTGTCTTTAATTAATTTTCTGGCCTGCCAAAGGAACAGCTGAGGCCTCCGCTGTAGACTCGGGGGTGGGGCCAGCTGTTTGAGGCTGTGTATTGTATTGCAAAGTCAAAAGGAAGTGAGGAGTAAGATGAGTAATTAATTAGGAGTAATGTAATGATGATGACGTTGATTCTGGAAAGGAAAGAAAGAGGAGGATGTTAATGGAAGAATGGCCATTTTTGTCGGGAGGCGCTTGTCGAATTGCCAAGGCAGAGATGGGACGTGGAACTTGAGTGCGCGTGGAGAATAATGGAAAAGCAATATCCCCTACGTACGCGTCAAAGTCTACGGTCTTTGTCATTTGTAGACTCTGCCACGCACCACGCTTCCTGAATCGCTATCTTTTTACTCTCTCGGTCTGATCTCCCGGCGATATTGCCACTGTTTTTTCATGTAAGGATGGAGATGTGATTCTCCAATAAAAAAACAGAGTGAGGGATTCTGAAATAATCCAGATCCCATCTTTTAATATAAGATCTGTTTCTCCAACACACGCTAGTAAAATAAAATCAGTCAGATGGGTAGATTAACTTCGCTGTTCATTTAATATGAAAGATAGAAGATTAATACAAGAGGTTGATATTTCATGGAGGGAACTTTATTTTATTCTGGTGGTTTCCTTTTGAAAGGTGGTAGTGGGAATTAAATTAAGAAAATGAGAGATGTGGTCCGCGGTCGTATCTCTGTAAACGTACGATTTAAAGGAAGGAAGAGTAGAGGGTATTTTCAAGGGGTTTACGGATGGATAGGCCATAAAATGACAGCTGGTAGTATATTACTATAAAACAGAGCATGCGGGTTTGCATGAAGGAGCAGGCGTCAAGTACAGATGCATTGAGTATGGACGGATATCGAATGCTTTGATTACTTTAAACAAACTCTGGCGAAACGGCAGAGGGAGAAGAAATGACGAGGCATGCCGCTGAAACAGCAAGCGGACTTTGACTTCTGGGATTGGAGTGGAATAATCAAATTAAATAAGGATGGTTATTATCATAGGGAGTGTTTGGATAGAAACCAAACCATAGTTTCAGAAGTGCTTTTATAGATTACGAAGTAAATATGTGAAGGAGATTATCTCGTTTTACGAAAAAGTGCTTCTAAAACCATAGTTTTGGGTTTCCCAAACACCCCGCAGAAGCATTCAAGTGAAGAAGCGGAGGATAAGATCAGGTTGAAGTGGGTGATCCAAGTACAAAAAGGAATGTAGATTAAAAATAACGGCAAGAAGAAGGGAGGGTGGAGAGAGAGAGAGGGGGGAATGTTGGGAAGGGGGGAGAAGGAGAAAGAGAGATTAGAGAGACAAGGACAGAGAGGGGGTTGCTGCAGAAGGAAGAGGGAGCACGCCTTCCTTTTAGGGGGTAGGCTCGCCCGTCAACGTCTCTCTGAGCTCCGACCTCTGTGTACGGGCTACTGTCGCGCCTCCTCTTTTCCTTTTCATAATTTCAAATCTGTTCCATATCTTCTTCCCAAATTACTTCTGTTTCCTTTTCATCAATATCCTGCCCGACCAGTCTTCAAAACGACGGATCAGCGTTCGTGCCATCCATTGCTGGTTCTTTAATTTAAAAAATAATAATTATTCCCATTATACATCTTGACCGGTAATTTTTGTGCACACGATTCAAATGCGGGAGGTGGTCACGGCTCTGGATCAATGGGTCCACTACACGGTACACACGCACCTCGTTCTTTGTTTGGAAGAAAGGGAAAGTGCAAATATGTGACCATGAATGTGGAACTCAGCTGTGAACAGCTGAGATGAAGAGGACTTTCCGATGTCACCTTTATGCTGAATTCTTAGAGCTATTAAAAAAAGATGATAGGCACGGCCATGTATATATATTATACATATAGGCCGTGACGTGCTTGCTTTATTAGGAAGTGCGGAAGCTTCCTTTCATTGCCATGACACAAAGCCCACGCCAGAGAGTTAGAGTGATTTGGGCCAACGTAGCATTCGGTCGAACGAAGTGCCGCACTTCGTGTCGTGGGTTTCGGATCATGTCAACAGAAGTGAACAGAATGGGCCACGTATCCAGTTTGTAGTGGGTCCCAGATCTATTTAAACTGTGCCCAGTGGAAACCTGCCCATCAGCTGCCATTTTTAACGTCCTGCGCTGCTTTTCACTTTCGCACCCCGCGTCACTCCCACTATTTTATCCCCCTATTAGGGCTATGCAAAAAACCTGGTAATTTGGCATAGTCCGATCCAATCCAAGCAAATTCAGTTTAGTTTGGTTCAGAAAAAATTGACTCGAAGTAAGACTAGTCTTATCAGGATGGACTAGACTAGGGACTAATCCCTCAGACCAGTTGGTCCACTCCAATTTAACTTTTTTTTTTAACTATTATTTAGATAATTTTAATTTGTTTTAATTCTTCTATATAAGTTTTTTTGTCTATTCAAATAATCAAGATTTATTGATTAACTTCTTAAATAATGAGCATGTGTATATATTTTTTACAATATAAGATCAATATTAATGAGATTTAATAAATGAAACATGACAATATTGAGAAATTGAAAGAGAATTATCAAATTTGATGAAGTTTGGATCAACACATAAGCAAAATTTTATATAGTAAGTTGCAATTTTGCTTCTCATTAAGAAAAAAATTTAAAAAAATTTAAATTGAGGTCCTGGACTGCCTGGACCAGTCTAATGAATCAAATCTAGTCCAATCCGACCTCAGGTTGGTACTGGACTAGATCAAATTTTAGACTGTCCTTTTCAACTCGAGATCTTTACTAAACTCGGGTTGATAAAAAATCCTGTCCCATCTGGTCCATACACACCCCTACCTCCTACCGTATCCCGTACGGTCCCTATTGATCTGCTGTTGTTGTTCTTTTGCCATCGTTACCCAGGCTTTCCTAATTAAGGTGAACATCACAACCCCTTCTGAAAGCTTAAGATAAACATTACAAGCCTCTGAACACTAAGTTTGGGCCCCCTGACCAGCTTCATTCTGCCCCGTTATTGAGTAATCGAGAGAAGCTTACTATTTGCATTTTTGGGACCTTTTGATTTTCTTCTCTAGTTTTGTTTCTGAAAACCATTTTGTAAAATGATTTTAGAAGATTACTTCTGAAAACAAAGCCAAGAAATCTTTAATGGTTAATTACAAGACAGCTAAAGAATTAAGAGAAATAACAAAACCTGATTTTAGGATAGGTTTTGATATTTTAAAAAAAAACTGAAAACTTATTTGATTTTTTTAGTTTGTTGCACGAAAGAGGAAGAGGTGCACTCAAGTGATAAAAATATTATGTGTTTTCATGTTTTCGTTTGGCTGACGCCGTTCTTTATCTTCGGAATAAACCGAGCCCTTCTATTCACATCCAGAGACATGCGGGAGTTTCGTATCCTTCATTGATCACCGTTGACCTTTTTCCCCCACTAACATGTGAGACTGCTCGTCCATCCATCACTATTCTTCCAAACGAAAGCATGGGTGGTTCGAAAATAAATAAAATCACACCATATAAAATTTAGCACAAAGATACACTCCATCCGTACATAAAATAAAACCTTCAAGTGTTTAATTGTCCTATATTTATATATTTGCAAAATTTGATTTAAAAAATAAAGATCTTTTCTGGCAGAGCATGGCTTTTGCACGCTGGGACCTCTTTGATGAGTTCAACAGTTCTGCTCAAACTTTTATTTAGGAAAATACGATATAAAGTTATAAACAGACAACAGGATAGGGGAAAGAGAGAAGAAAGGAAAAGAAAAATTAATAACAAGGTCGTATGAAAATAACACTAATATTTATGTGAGGCTAGTGCCTGTACTGAAAAAGAATAATAATAATAAAGCCTAACACAAACTGTACTGAAAACAAAATGGCACTGGCATCCAGCAATAGGGCCGCGCTTTGCGATCTCTGGTCCGTAGCTAGCTGTTAAGAGCTGTAAAATTATTTAACAGCAGCTCCGACAAATAGGGTGGCCCCTTCCTCCCTCAGAATTCAATTCAACCTCTTTCCCCGACCATCATTTGAAGCTCACTTCCTTCGTCTCAAAATTCACCACCAGCTCTGCCTCCTCTGTTTCGACCAAGGGGGGGCGGCACCTTCCCTATAAACCACACACTCTGTATTCTGAGTAAAGCAGCGTGCCTCCAAATTCACTACAACAGCTCTACTCCACTGTTACTTGTATTGTTTAACTTGATCCTTTTAGGATCGGGGCCATCACGTGACGAAGACGAACTCCCACATGAACTTGATCCTTCGCTTTTATGGCTCCAGCATAATGCGGCCGCCTCCCACACCCCAATTGGGCTCTGCGCCACGCAGTCTTCTCTTCCGTTTGATGCCATCTCCTTTATTATCTTCAAGCACTCCACCACTCTCTCCTGCCCAACACAAACATACAAAACAAACAAACAAACAAACCAGCATAGTTCAATTATGCGAGTCCACATGTAGCACTATTCCTTCGAAATCCACCACATGTGTAAGCCATTCATTTTACCTTTTCAACATGTTGACTCAGCACCGAAATTGCTTTCTCCGTATTCACCGTTTGGGTTTCCCTTACAACACATATTGCCACTGCCGCTGCAACTTCCGAGGGCCTGAATTCCAATAAGTCAACCCCTGCATTCAATGATCATTATCTTCCGTTCCTTCCATTTATAATTGCCGTTATTACAAATAGCAGAGCCGGCAGTGCGTACCTCTCGCTGTGCTCGATATGATTTGGATGGATCGCGATATGGAACTTCCTTCTGGTTTCTGATCATCATTCAGCTTGAATAGAAAATAGTCTATGAAGGAAAACGGAGTGATGGCTTGCATTCTCCACCTCAGTGTGCTCAGTACCAAAAGTTCCATTCTTTGTATTGTTCTTGCTTCAAATACGAACTTTGATCCTCCCACCTGTACCAAACCCAGTGTGCTCTTTGATCGGCACACAGCCTGGCCATTTTAAGCATTAAAAACACCATTGCCTACCTGCAAATCAACAGACAGGGGAACTTCAGCCTCTTCCATTTTGGCAGCGAGAGACAGGCATGCCACGGCCAACAATTGCATTGTCCAGCCTTTTCCCTTCTGCATGTGGATCCATTAGATCAAAACCGGAGCAGAATACAACCAGGAAAAGAACAAAGCGTTGATCTTTTCACGCTTGGACACTTACTGGTAATTCGTATGATGAAAGGAAACGGTCCAGATAGTTTATGGATAGATATGTACAGAGGGGGCTGAAACCGAAGTGCTCTCGAACCTGTGGAACCAGTATCCCCGTTAATCAAGTAGAAGACAACGACACAGGACAATCGGATAATACCAACCGAACATTATGAACTCAGAATCTTTCGCCCAGCGATTGACCCCATGCTCACGATGGTTTAATACAGGTTATGAGATCGAAACGGAAATGTATGTGCATATTTAAACATTAAAAAGAGAAAAAAAAGAAAAACGGCAGAAATGCATGAACACAATCAAAACCAGATGATCAGATCGGCTTTAGAATATAAGGAAAATCCATTAATTTCACCCCAAGCAATTGAAACTTAGTAAAGGACCCACCACGGAGCACAGAACGACGACACTGTTCGTTTAACTGAAATCTTAACAAAACACTTTTCACATAAATCACATTTTTGCTGTGTTGTTTAGATTTCAGAGCCTAAAGGAAAATACGAAGATTCAGAAATCAGAAAACATCCGTCTAAAAATGAAGGAAAAAGAAGTTGGCCATATTAATTGCAGCAAAAACAGGATATCGTCCGTTAGGAAACTGAATGGTCACTGTGATTGTTAAGAGCTTCAAAAAATAAAATTAAACACAGCCTGTAACCCACCTTTTCAATCCAATCAACGGCCTCCTTTCTGGCCCCAAAGTCCAAATCCGCAGTTCGTAGCCTATTCAGGTAATCTCCTGCAGGCAAGTGGTCGCATTCCTTTTGCACCATTTGCGCTAAACACTCGTCACTCTGCAATGGCAACCCATCGTGTCGATCATGAAAGCACAGGTTATGGTTACGGGGTCCGCGTGTAACGTCCAACGGCTCCATCGTAGCTCCATAATCGCCATCGTCGAAAATGCTGTCGTCTTCTGCGCAGAGAAGTGCCGAGACACAATCGAAACTGGGTGCCATTGCAAACAAGACCGATAAGCCTCTTTCTCGGCCCTTCAAGGCAGAACCAGTTTTATAAAACGAGCAACGCAGACAAACAAAGAAACAAAAAATGAATCTTTCAGATAACTGATTAAGCGTTCCGTTTTGTTTTAGAGAAGAGAGGAAGAGATGGAGATGTGTGAGGGAACGATTAAAGAAGAAGAGTTAATATGGGGAAATAAGAACAAGAGGAGAATGAATGCAAACTGTCCTTCTACATATGAGGCAGTGCTGTGCTCTGTTTCAAGGAAGAGCTGAAAAAGCTGTCGACAGAGAGGACCTTATGAAGGAAGAGAACGCCTCTTTTTAGGGTAAAAGGCAGAGACAGGGGGGGAGTGGGGGCCCCTAGTGTGGGGTGCGGCAATCAGAAGGATATGACCGAGTAGTTCATACTTTATAGCAACCAAATAAAAGGATTACCCTTTTGCTATATTATGTGTAGGGTTGGGAGAGTGAACAATTATAATATTATGGATGTTTAAATTTTAAATATACCCATGACCGGAATAGTATTAAATATAAGAGATGAGGAGGAAGGCATAAAAATTAAAATACTCCCTCCGGTCTTACATCTAACTTTCAAAATCTTATATATAAGCTTTAAATAACTGAATTATACTTAATAATGATAACAGTTAAAATTAGTTAAAAATAATAAATAGATAAAAATATATCTTTTTTTAATTTGTATTTATTTATTAAAAACGTAAATGAGAATCAATAAATAAAAAAATAATGAAAAAAATATATGAAAATAATATTAATGAGAGAGATAGTACTAAAAACAGTCAACTAGAGACAAATAAGCTGGTAAAAAAAAAAAGACAAAATAAAAATAATAATAAATACTTGTACAAACTTAAAAATAAAGTTTATATTTTAAACCAAATCCATTTAAAAGTAAAGTTTACATATAAGAACCCAGGGAGTGCGTGATTATCCGGTGTTTCCTCTGATAACCGAAGATAAGTTAGGACAGAGAATAGCGAGATAATTTTACCAGGTCGGGATAATGTAGAAGAGGAAGCCACTTGGGAATACTCGAGTGGAGTGCTGGGGACAAATGAGGGACTTGCCGTGCATGATTTCCTATTTTAAGTTACTAGTAATTGAGAGGAAATGTGACACATTTTGCTGCCTGAATCCGGAGGGCCGGTTCAGCCAAAAAAGGGGAGAGTTTTGTTTTTTTGGGTGACAGAGGGACGAAAGCGTAAAAACACAAAGGAGGAGGAACAGGAGTGGGAGGTGTCCCGTGGTGACGCGTGTTGCGTCACTCTCAGTCTCTCACCGCAAACACGCAATGACGCAAACGTCCGACTATTCTTCGTTCACTCCTTCGCTGCTCTTTTTTGCCTGTCCCTTTTTATGCTACAGTTACTCTTTTTTCTCATTTCCTTCTTCGCCGCCTCAATTCCTTCTCTTCTCGTTTTCATTTATAATATTCTTCTAATTTTTAATATAAGACCTATTTAACTAATTTGATTAAATTAAAAAAATTAATTAAGTTAGTTAATTATAAAAATATAACATGTTTTTCTTAAAATACCATGATGATCTTTCTTAATAGCACTTCTTCCTCTTCTACTTGATTATGGTTGAGAGAGTATTAATATGGGTAATTTAGAAAAAATTAATAAATATAAAAAATGAGTCTTATATTTAGGATTAAAACCAACTCAATAATTGGTTCCTATATTAAGGATCGGAGGAGTACAAAATTATTTATTTGGCTAATTCTCGCGGGTTGATTAAACTAACTTAACTAAGATTTTTATTTTATTCTTTCACTCCTGTCCTTATTTAATGCTCCTGATTTTAAATGGAAAAAAACAGTATTAATAACAAATAATTTCATACATTCAATAAGAATATATTGAGAAAAAAAATTAGATAATCCTCAAATTTCCTAATCTGTCTTATAAATGGAAATAAACCATCTTCTAAAATTTTGTCCAATAAATAGAAATGGAGGGAGCGTGGCTTGTATCTGAGTATCTGACTCAATGTTGATTTTTTTTTTTTGGTGAGATGCTGATGTTAATTCTATTATCCCCCCATTTCAAAAAATATTAGTCTTTTTTACTGTGAATTTTTACACTCATTTCTAAATGTTTTTAAATTAAAATGATCGTTCCATTGAGAAAAATATGTTCAGTATTTGTTTTTTATCGGAAAGAAAAATATGTTCATTAGCAAGACTCGTTTTTCAATTGCTGCATTTACTTTAGGCAATGTTATCTTTTTTTTTTTACCAGCTTTCGGCAATGTTATCTTGGACAATAGTATTATTACCGACAGCATGACATTTTTATTTGACCAACAGCATGACATTTGAGATCATAGAATATACATAAATCGATATATATTTTTCCTATACTATAACGTTGGAAAAAAATATGAACATACAACGTTGCTTCAAAAAAAAAAAAACTGCGTAGGATTCCTGATAACGGCAAAATGACAGCTGGTAATTCTGTACTCATGCATCTGGGTGGTCATTTAGCCCGAACGAAATTTTAGTGGGAGTGCGACGCCAAAGAGAATTCGGGAGGTCCTTTTAGTTTTAGCTGGTGATGCAATTAACATTAACAGCATTAATAACATCTAAAACCGATTCGCTCTGTCGGTCTCCCCAAGATTGCCTGAGAGTCAAAAAACGCCATGCCTGCAAGTCAACTGCCTTCCTAATTCAAAATGTAGTAAAAGACAAAACATATTTAAGGACCCCGTGGAAATGCGTAACCATTTGTATATCATGTCTGGTAAAAAAAAAAAAAAAAACCCCTTTGTATATAATGAGAACTCCACGTGAGAGGACACTGATGGCCTCCCCGGTGTGCATCGCTAAATAAAAAAAAATATATAATTATTAGAACAAATTGATAATGAGTCGGCCCATAGATATAAAGGTTTTGTCTCTAGACAACCTGTAACTATCTTTATAAATACTTTTTGAATCTGAAGATATGTTTTAGTCCTTAAAAGCTCTAAACCCAAATTCAGTTGGACTTTTCTTTACCAAAAGGAAAATTATCAGAACAAACATTATTGAGCGGCCGAAGAATAGACATTTATGGCGGAGGCACTAATAAAGGCCTTCAGTTTGTTTCCCTCTCTTTGGTGATTAGACAGTTAATAGTATACTCTGCAATTTACATGCTCACGCTCACCCCACACGCCAATCTCCCTCTAATCCTCTCTGAGCATGGGCTTGCACTGCATTTTGCCATCTTGTGAATGAAAAGTCCTTTTTCCGGAAGAAAAAAATATAAAGGTGGAAAAATCGTTGTCAAAATCATCCAGATTGCTAATATCCGTGTTGGGAAAAATAAAGTGTTGTCTCTTATGCTTGGCCAGTGGGCATACAATCGCAAAAAGAGATGCACTTTTGGTCTTTTCTCACTTTTAGGCGCGCCTCTTTCGGGAATGTGTTAATTTTGGTTTAACAAGTACCAATTCCCTTTAACACGTTAACCCCTTCCCTAATCACTATTCCAAATTTCCAATATCTCCGCCAGATCCTCTCTGAGCATTATGCATGCCTACTCAGCAACCATGCTGCTTCACTCGCTTCACCTTACTAGAAACCGATGAACTATCCATCTCCAACCGGCAATTAATTAAGCTATATACTTGGTTTCCTAATTACATATTTTTAATTAGTTTGTGTAATAACAGGTTAATTTGTGTAATTGCAATGAGCCAGACTAGTCCCTCCCAGACGTGTTTCTCATGGGGTCTGGGTTTCCTTGGTAATGGCGTTATCATTCTCTTTACTTTGATAGAAACAGGGGTGGGGCTTCGACCATGGGAATTTGCAAAGAAAGAGTTCTGAGTATATGAAGATCGATTAGATTTTGTGCACAATGTTGGTCCAGCATGTTTTGAATTTTATCATATTATTCGCATAGATGCGCCTCGACTAGGCATTGCTCCTCTCATCGCCTGCTAGTAATTTTCAATTCTCTTGCTTTGGGGTTCTCTCTTAAATAATACATCAAACAGATAAATTAATATCAAGGAAAGTGCATTGTGTTTTTTTTTTCCAACATCAATGAACACATTGATGGCAGCTTGGTTTACGTGCATCAAGTGAAGGGATTGCAGATGTAGAAAGTAGAAAAAGGAAAAGCACAAGCGACAGCCTCCTCTCGTTTTATAATATGCATTATGCGGATCAAGGTACAGTATCTTTCTTCTTGGTTAGAAATTGGTACAAGTCTCATTTCAAAAGAAAAATGGTTGGTACTATTCTGAATCAGCTGTCCAAGTGCAAATTATATTTGGCCCCAACTCTTCGAAAGCTGTGTACTTCTAATTATCATGACGTTTAATTACGGGGTTCTTTTCTTTGTTTGCCGGTTCCATAGCAAGTTAAGAGTACACTTATGCAATTAAGATGTATAATTTCGTCGGCGAATCTTGACTCTTTCTGGTTTGTAGTCCTGAATCATCATTATCGCTTGTCAATCTATGACCAGTTAGCCGTTGAAACACAAGGTGACAAGAGTCAGGATCAATGTGATTGATCCAGATCGGCATAATACAAATAGGTTGCATAAGATCCCCAGTTAATTTGTAGCCATTTGACTTGACCATAGATCATCATTTTGGATGACCAATAATGAGAAATTTCAATTGGTAGAAACGGGAGTTTAAAAAACAAAAAGCCAAAGCGAGTAATTTGAGTTTAACTTAGGATGCCGGTTTCTTGGATTCAGTAAGCTAAGCAGGAGACGTGCTCGCTTTAACTTGAATTTCCAAAAGAGACTTTATGACACAAATTTCTAACCCTTTTCTCCAATCCTATCTTTGAAGTCCTCCTTTATTTCTATGGTCTCTGAAAAATCAAACCTTCGTTTTTTCTTTAAACGTGCTTTTGAAACAGCGAACACTAATCGCATATGGTTGGTGTCAGTTATAGTGCAACTTTCAAAGCCTATATTCCCACCAAGTCTTATTTTAAGCATGTGGCAGAGAGGAGGCATAGTCGGTAAGACTTTTGGTTATGGTCTAAAAGATAGTATTGATCACTGTTTGAGATCCGAGCTTCACAGAGTGTCACTCACACACACCCCACTCCTCCATTTTTTTAACTCATCTCTTCTTCTCCCTCCCTCGTTTTACTGCTTTCCCTAGTCGCAGTCAAATGTTGCGCATATGACACTGTTTCCATTTCTGTATATATTTTAACTTAACCATTATTTTACTGCCCTTTGTTCTGACCGCATCTTTTTTATGCTTTGTGCTCAGCATGCTGCATGCCTGCACCTTCTTCACCTCTCTCTATACTTTCTATTCAAAGCCTGCCCTTTACGTTCCTGCCTTTGCTTCCATCCTCACATGCCTATTTATGACTTCCCATCCCTTGTTATTTAGTGTAGCTCCATCTAATCAGTTTTGATTCGGTTCCTCGTAATTACACGCAGTATTACAGATTTTGTCCCTATTGCGCAGATGCGTTCAAAGGCATATGGTCGCACGGGACTAACAATTGAACACATGACAACGGAACAAAAAAGTCGGAACACCTGTTAGAGAGCTCGCTTCTTGTCCTTTGTGCTGTACGTTACGTCAATGGATATTTTCAGGCTCCTCTCAGTTTATAAGCAGCAATAGTCAAATAACGGATTGTTCCTTTTTTTTTTTTTCCTCAGCAAAATGAATATGCTAGCTATGTATTGCGGTAATATTAGTGCGAATTAGGTGTGTACAAGGAGAGCCTTTGATAATTCCATGAAAGTAACCAATGATAAGACGAGCCTCTGATTTTAAAAAAAAAAAAGTGGTGTTGAGTCGGATATAATTAATAAAGTGGGCGAGGTTGGATTGGGTTTGAACATTTTCAATACGAAAAGAAAAGAAAATGATAATGGAGACAGAGAAGAGAGTTCTTGAGATTCACTATAATACTAAACAAGGCACTGTTTCTGTATAATAATGGGATAAAGAAATGTCTGCTAACAAGACAAACGAGAAAGAAGAGAAAATGGGTCACTGTGTCTCTTCATATAGACCTCTCGCAAAGGCAGATGCCTCTCGCAAGCATCCAGAACATCCGCCGTATCTCCTGCGAAACCCAGTCATCTTATTTAAATAAGACCACCAACCCGAAGTAATGATACAGGTATTATTATAGGAAACCAGAGCCACGTGGAAGGTGGAAGACCAATAGTAACGTGGTTTTAGGTGGAGGATGGGAACATGGAAAAACAAGGAATAGGGAGGAGGAGGATTATGGAATGAGCTGGCAAAGGGAGGCAGGCCAGTGTTGGCAGAAGCAGTGTCTTTATCAAAATCATCAAAAAAAGTCCAAACAAGAAGGAAAGGCATTTGGGAGCACGGGACCATATGCCTTGTCTGGGGAAGAGGGCTGTTTAGCTCGTTTCATTAATAATTTATTGTCCCACTAACACCGTAACACTCTCCTCACTCTCTCTCTATCTCTAACTAAGATCACTAATCAGTCCATCCACCTTAGCGGTTTGATTTGGATTAGTCAAATCACTCTGAAGCCTGAACTCAATTCGATGCTTTGACCCTCTCAGTACAGAGTTTGACGCAAACCACACGCTGCATCATGAATCAGCCTCGCATCTTCCACTGTTCCTGTTGTTTTTTCTTTAATTATATTATCATGGTCATGAATTGCCATTGTAAGCTTGTGTTAGTAAGTACTTATTATAAGTATGTTTACAATTCTTTCACATACTTTTATTGTATTTCATAAATTACAATAAAAAAACTATTTATATGGCATTCCTAATAAACAGAGCTACCAAACTACGATATTTTTGTTTTCTTGCTAGTTTCCCCTTCTTCCTGCCACCAAAGTAAGTGTCGTCCAAACTTTGTTACTAATGCTGTTTCGTGCCTTTGTTTTCCCTCCTTGGGGGCTTCCTCTCCGCTCTCACCAGTTGACGGCTTCCTCTCCGGTCTCGCCGGTTGACGAGCCCCGTGACATGTACCATGACAATTCTGTAATTCTCAATGTAAAGAGAGCAATGACGATTTGAAAGGAAGAAATTCAACGTAATGCTATAATATTCAATGTCAAATAATTTTGTGTCTATAAAACAGTATGTAAGAATCATCTCTTCCATTTCAGAACAATTAGTATTATTTTTGAGTTTTGATTTTATTTCATAACAAATGTTACTCATAAAATGAGTAAATTATTGATTATTTTTGGCGTAACTCAAGTCATCTTCGTCTATATTGAGTATTATTTAATTTTAAATGATTATGACACTATTAAATTAAGTAATACTGCATTTTGTTGGCAGATTTTTTTTTTTGCTGCACATGGATATCTTCCTATTGAAAGCCATTTTTGTTTGAGATGCTGTCGGACATTAAATATGAACATTTCTTCCAACAATAAATCAAACTTATTTTGCCACTTTATAAGAGACTAGTTTTTGTTCACTAGACTTAACTCGGTAGATTTTTGTAGATTTTAACATACTTATAGCATGAAAGGGTGTTTCAAAAATGGGCTAAATCCCACTCAGGGATGGCCCACTCAGTTGTGCTTAAACACATGAAAAAATTGAAAACAAAAAACCCAAAGGACACCAAAGGCGGGCAAGATGAATCGCAGATCAAGCAATTCTATGGCAGAGTTACCGTCCAACCCAAATGCAGCTGCTGCTTTTCACTTAAACTCGATTTGATAATCAAAAAATCCGAATTCATGGGCCGCACCGACCCATAAACTTGATCTCCGCCCTTCGCCGGTGCTCCATGCGGCCAGCCCAATTGTTGACTTCTCAGTTCTCACAAACAGTTAGTGTTTGCTATTCTCCCCCATTTCTGAGCTCTCGTCCTATTGCTTTAACTTTTAATATAAGAATTAATTAATTAATTTAAATAAATAAAAATATTTTTAAAATTATTTATTTATAATATATAAATATTTTCTTTCCTAAAACATCCTTACTAATAATGTGTATTAGTTATAACTACTATTTAATAAAAAATTTTAACATGTGCAACTACTATGATTATTTTGAAAAAAAAAGACAAATATAATAGATAAAATGAATTACTCCTTCAATCCTTTATATATGACCCAATTGTTGAGTTGATTTTGGTTATAAATATAAGACCCATTTCTCATATTTATCAATTTTCTCTAAATTACCCTTATAGATACTCCCTCAATTATAATCAAATAGAAGAAGGAGAAGGGGTATTAAGAAAGATGATTATGATGTTTTAGTAAAAACGTGTCACATTTCTTATAATTAACTAACTTACCTAACTTTATTAATCTAATCAAATTAGTTAAATGGGTCTTATATTAAGGATTGGAGAAGTATAATTTCATACTTATGATCAAATTAAAAGTCAAATCAACTCTTATAGTAAGGATCAAAAGTAGTATAATTTTTAAAAGTTTTTACTTACATTTTTTTATTTAGATATAATCTCTGCATTGCAAGAAACAAATTTAATGATTTCTTTTGATTGGATTCTTCAAAATAAACTCTGATAATTTTATTCTCGAACATCTGTCAATTAAGGCTGTGTTTGGGTGACACCCCAAACCATGGTTTGGGGAATAAATCACCCAAACACCCACCCAAAAACCAAAACCATGGTTTTGGCTCCAAAACCATGGTTTTGGAAAAAGCAAAATTTTTTTGCTTTTGGAGAAAAAAGGAGAGTGTGAAAGCCTATAGGATATGTATCTTGTTATTTTTTTTAAAATATTTAATTTTATATTTTATAAATATATATACATATTAATTAATTATTAATTATATTATCTTATGTATTATTAATTACGTTAATAAAAAATATATTATTAACAATTTTATTCCTTCAAATTAAAATATATCATAAAATCTATTTTTTCTGTAATTATTATATTAACTTATGTCTTTTTTTAGTAATTTGTATATATAAAAAGTGCTTCTGATAATAACTATCCAAACACTTTCACTTCTCAAAATTACTTTTTCATAAAATCTATTCTTTCCAAAATTTATTCTTCTCAGAATCTATTCTCCAGAATTACTTTTCCAAATCACGGTTTGGTTTCATCCAAACACATCCTAAAATAGCAAGCATTAGCTGCACTTGCTTCTCCTAAAATTTTGATTAATTTTTTTCCCCCAAAAAAGGACAAACGTTAGGAACACGACGACGGGAAGCCTTCGGGGGTTGGGGAGGGATATACACGTGGCACATGCAGGAGCTGCACACGTAGGTCTTGGCGCGTAGATGAAGGAAGAAGAGGGTATCAAGCAAGGGAAGCCGATGAGGGCTGATGGACACGCGCACCACCCTATATCTTTGACGCCGTTCTCATCTGGCAAAATGGCTTCCACACTCCTCTCTCCCACTCTTGCTACTTCCACCAAAGCTTCCGTTGTCTTTGCGTCTTCGCTGCATCGCCGCCATCCTCTGGTTGGCGCTTTCTGCATCTTCAGCTTGGGCATCTGTTCCCCCCTGTATTCCTCCGCCTCCAAAACGGGGATTGCTCAATCTCTTCCCATTTTCCCTCTCCTACAGTACGACGCCATCCGTCTTTTTTCATCCATTCCTTCCATTTCTCCGCCTAATTATTTCTGTTTCTGGATCCGAATCCTCTTGCTTTTTTCGGATTATTTTATTATTCGTTTGTTTTGATTCCCTGCGCGATTGTTCCCTTCCGTTTCAGATCAAAGTTCCGTAGGCACTTCGCTGCTACTAGCGTTGGTACCAAAGCGATGGAAGACAAAAGCGCCACTGTTCCAAGCATTGTTGTCTATGTTACTGTTCCCAACAAAGAAGCAGGTTCGAGCATTGTGTTGTTCTTCTTCGTTTTCCTTGCTGGGGATACTCTAGGAAAGGATCATTCCAGTTTGCACAATTGATTCGTTGAGATTGGGGGTTACACACTAGCATGTCATTCAGCTACTGGCCCATGAAGAATTGGGCTGAGGTAGCATTAAGGGTTTAAGACTTTAAAAACCCCGTGAAATCATGTTATTTATCTTGTTGATTATTACTTGTCTAAGGTGCACAGGGTAGATCTAATGAATTCGTGTTTTTTATGGCTTTATATGCTCCAATTTTTTATGTGCGCGAATGATTCTGCAGGCAGGAAGTTAGCCGAAAGCATTGTGAAAGAGAGACTTGCAGCTTGTGTAAATAGGGTTCCAGGTATGAAATGAGCTTTCTTCTCCTGATTTTAGCCTCTGCTGTATTGGGCGCTTTCGATGTGGGATCAAGCATGTGTGCCATGACTATGGAGGCATTTCAGGATGGTTTTGAGTTGGGAACTTGGCATTAGTCTTGGCGAGCTAAATATCAAGATTACATTTTCATCAGAATTTTATAACCCATGTGAATTATGTCTAATGCATGTGTTTTTTTTTTTTTGGTTAAACCAACTAATACAGGCATTGAATCAGTGTATGAATGGAATGGAGAGGTATGAACTTCATTTTCCATGTTGACTTGAGAATGCTGGCGTGTCTAGAACTCCTCATGAGGAGTTTTTCCATCACTCATTTCATTTGTTTTTTTTTAAAAAAAAAAAATTATTCTGTTTATTACTGTCCTTATTGGCAAGTGGTATAAGAAAATGCATAGTTAAATTGAAAGTATGGTGTGGCTTGTTAATATCAGCTGTGTGTTGCAAGTTGACAGGTCCAGACTGACGCCGAGGAACTTCTTATAATCAAGACTAGGCAATCTCTTTTGGAAGCACTGACGGAGCATGTCAAAGCAAATCACGAATATGAGTAAGACCGATGTTTCTCATCAATTACCGTTCATCAAAATTTCAAATTTGCGTTGTACAGTTTGAGTCGTACATTGTATCTAATCCTGAAAGAAAACTTGAAGAGCATTTGAATAGAATAGAACTGACAACTGAGTGTAAAACAGATTGATGTTTTTTAATGTATTATGAATCTGCCAAGACTTAAACTGGCATAAAATCCTTGTTGAAATTAACTTGGTAGTAAAACATACAAACAATAGTGCCTCGAGTTGTTGCTGACATTTTTGTCTCTTCTTCAGGGTGCCAGAGGTGATCTCTTTACCTATCACCGGGGGCAATCTCAAATACCTGGAATGGATTAAAGGCAGCACGAGGGACTGACTGCCAAATGTGGACATAAATCACAGGAACCACCTTTGTCTGCTAAATAAGGTCGCGCGCTGTCTTAGCAAACAAAAACATAAAGAAGTTCGCATGTTGTCCATACGAATTGGTGACGAGAATTGAGCATTGTTTACAACATGGTGGATTGGTGTGCTACGGAATACTGCTGGCTGTTACTAGTTTCTACTTTCTAGACTGGATATTATGTTATCAGTAAACGTTCTCTTATGATTTCTCGTCCATTCATCTGATTTTATTAAGCATCAACGGCCGTCTGCAATGGGATCCCAAATCAAGTTGGTCACGTCCACACCCCATCCCAGCCCCACCTGCCCCCTTCCCTAAAAAAAGTGACAATTAAAGGGAAGAACACTTAAAGTTCTGTCTTATTAGATCTTCCTTGTCAATATGCGTTTGTGCTACCTAGGTCATTCGAATACTATCCACCGTAGCAGGCGCATTATTATGTCATTATTTATACTGCCTCTTTAATTCGAATAAATTAAGAAAATTAGTTAGATATTTATAATAAATAAGTATTAGTTTTTAAAAAAATATTTTCACTAATCAAGTGTATTAGTTAGAACTATTATTTTGTAAAGACTATTTTGAAAGAAAATGATAAACATGAAAAACAAAATAAATTGAGGTCTTATATTTAGAATCAAAATAAAATCAAACAAACTCTTATAGTAATGTCTCACATGTTTATTCATTTTCTTTCAAAATAGTCTTTATAACAATAATAGTTTTAACAATACACTTGATTAAAAAGGATATTTGAAGAAAAACAATATCCATATTTAGAAATTATAGTGTATTTTCTTAATCTTTTCAAATTAATCAACTAACTTTTATATTTAGAACCGAAAGTAATATTATATAAAAGGCTGCGAATGTGATCATCTCAATTTCTTTATAACTAAGACAATTCTCTATACTTTCCTCTGATTGCCAAAAGCAATGTCACCCAATGAGAAGATTAGTGTACTAATCAAGGAAAGCAGGAGCTAGTTTACAGGGCCAATTGCTTAAAACAGATCGCGAGCTTATCTTTAATGGCCATTTGCTTATCTTTGATGGCCATTTGCATATCTTTAATGGCCATTTGCTTAGAAAAATACGAGTTAACATGGCGGTAGTTATCTCTGACACTGCTCAAATAACAATCAGTTGGATATTTAGTGTACCGTGAGTTATGATTTCGAATTCCTCCGATCCCTTTTGATCCATTGAGTATCTTTCCTTCTTATACATCCTAGCAAAGTCTGAACTGCTTGCTCCATAAACACATTTTTCTCGAAAGATTTTTCAGTTATTATTTATATTTTATAAAACATGGAAAAAAAAAAAAAACTAGTTGTGCATGTAAACCTACGTTACATTAAATACCCATGAACCAGGACCACACCTTGTTTTTCCGAGTTCATCTTCTAGGCAACTACCGATTCTTCTCAGACGGCAGATGCCGCTGCATGATTGTTAGGGTTTATCTGGCTTAATGGTAGAAAAGCTGCGTGAATCCAGACATCCATTCACAAACAAATCACAAGAAAGAAACACATCCATTTGACGCAGGGAGAGTGACCCTTAAATGTGGCAACCAATTCCTATATACTTTTATACAGAAGCATGAAATAAGCCATCCTACATCATAAGCATGTCTCATTCATCCCTGAGCATGGCTTGCAGAAACAGACACCCACAAAAAATTTGTCCCAGATGCGATGGTAGGATTTCCATGCTATTGATTTGCCTTACCATATGAATTGCTTCATCCCAAGGCCATTACACGTCAATATAAGGCTCTTGTAACGATTAAGATAATCCTGCAACAAACAATAAAACAAAATGTGAAGTGAAGATATCAAAGCGTCATTCTAAACAAGATATTTTCTTTTGGTAAATAAATCAATTTTCACAAGCAAGGTTCATGACAGATAACAAGGGAAGCGCTTACCATGAGATTGCAATCATAGACATAAAGCATCCCATTTTTGTCATACTCTCTCCTTTTGGCGGGATCGCTTAAGACTGTTCGATAAAGCAAAATAAATGTTATTCTAATCATAAGAGAGAAGCTCATGCTCTTACTCACAGTTTTTAACAGGCATAAGCAAAAGAAAGGAAGAGTAGAAAATCTACAGTAGATTGATACAACTATCACACCAAAATACCAAGCCTTGTTTAGGGAACAGCTAATCTAATCTCTTTCACGACTGGGTAAATAAACCACATTTTATATTTCTCGAAGACTTCAAATAGACCCGCCTTCCTCATTGATCATATGCCCATCAGTCTTTAATTACGGAAGTATCGATCAAATCCAAAGAGAATATGTATTTCAGCCAAGCTAGCTCTTTCGAAATGGAAATAATTTCCACTAATAATGTACAAGTCAACAATGGCTTCGAGAATCACTAGAATCACCCATCACGTCACAATTGTGATAATATAAATGGAAATAACCTTGACAAGATTAGATAGCAAAATGTAACGCAGAACAGCGTTAAGTAGATTCAAATCAGTTTTCATACCCAGGAAAAAAATGTTATGACCAGCACATAGAAGGTAAAGGAGGCGGTTTATGTAGGTGTGGTGCCCGGGGGAATTCTCTTCTCCAACGGACATTAAGGAGAACAAATTTGGCTTGCCTAGCCAACGGCCTTACAGTAATTGATCATCCAGAAGAAGATTTATTTTAATAACTTATTAATTATTAATTAAGCCCTTTGAGCATGCTAATCAGTAAAACTTAGTTAAAGAAAAGGGGAAAATAGGGCAGCCATATTAAGAACATACGAAGTTCTTCCGAGGTGGAAATCAAAAACAACCCCTACAAGGCATCACTCAAGAAATCCACTTGCAACTTGCAGATTTATGGAACTTCCAACTTTATCATACGCACAGAGGCAATGATGTAGGAAACCTTTTGGCTAAGAATGCCTATGATGCTAACATTACTCCCACGTATTTTGAATTTTGTTGTTTTGGATTGCGCATCTCAATATGCACGAGATAGAAGATAAGAATCTCGCAACTCTAATCTCTTAACTCGTATCAAGCTTTTGCTTGCCTTGTTCAACTGAAAAAAAAGAAAACATGAAATATAATAACGCCTAGAATCGAAGATATTAGAGTTTTGGTGAAGGCAGTCTATTGACAGTGGGAGCAAAATAACCCCAACAAATTCGCTGTCCAAGTGAGGAAGGCAGCATTTATGTTGAGGATTTAAGACATATCACCAAGTTTTCATAGACCTATTTTTCAATTTCCACTACTATAATCAATACCTAGCCTACATCTACGCCAATCGCCATCCCATCATCAACTGTCCAAGTTAGATAAGAGTACGATCATGTCCACAAATAACCTAAAATTTTACCATATAGATAGCTAATTACTCGTATCATTAGAAAGAAAAAACTAAAAAGGGTTACTGACCCTGATAAGCCTCGTTTATCTCTTGGAATCGGGAAGTTGCGGCATCTTGGCCTTTCTTCTTGTCCGGATGCCATTTCTGTGCCCACAGAAGCAGAGAAAGTTAGCCCTGAGCTCCGCGGTGAAACCAGAACTTAGCCCCAAACCCAACTAAGAAGACCCTAGAGGATAGAAATGCGAGACCGGATAACACACCAGAGCTAGACGAATGTAATTGGAGCGAATAGCGTCGTCTGTAGCATCATAATCTACTTCCAGAATCTTATAATAATCCTGTGAAACACAACTCACAATTTCAGGACAACACGCATCCACAAATACCACTAAAGGAAACAATCCCTAGGCACGAAATAAATTTAAAAACAGATGAAATTTCAAAGGGACAAAAAATAAAGAGGGTAGTCAGAGCCTGAAATGTTCACGATGTACCTGGGCTTGGGCAGAGCAGGGAAGAGAAATCGAAGTTGAGATAGGAATCTTGGTCAGGTTGGTCACCTTCTGGGATATTGTTGTCCCACTCATCCCACGTCATGATGAATTTCAAAAAAAGAGAAAGGCTTGTTTGCTTTGAGCTGAATGCAAACTTCAAACACTGGTTTAGGTATATGAAATTCGAGCGAAAATCAGGTCAGGATTAGGGGTCCTGTCTTTCCTTCGCGCCTGTGTCTATCGGCGTGCCGCGTACGTCTAAAATGGGCCGCGATATTCGTCTCTGCTCAGAAAAAATCTTCTGTCGGAAAATTCTAGATATTAATGAAGGAAATAGAATAAAAGAAGAAAAGGTTTCCCACGGAACAAGTGCCCCCAGGGACATTGCCCAGCCAGATTACATAAAGGAAGCCTACGATAACAAAAATATGTGCCTAATCTGTTCGGTAAATTCTGACGTGGAAACCTTTTGAAGGATTCCCGAGCAAAACCATGGGGGTCAAAAACAATATCTGCTATTGATATACAAATTTTTATCCTCGAGCTTCAAGTTCAGGCCAGAAATAAATAAATTTTAACATAATGAAATAGGTTTATCATGAATTAGTACAAAAAGAACATTTTTTGTCAAACTACAAAAATTTAAAGATAAGGGACAGTGGGATTTT